TCAGTCCAAAACTTGTAAAAATTGGCGATAGCACCCTATACATATTCAATATGCATTTCCATCACTACTGGGGCGATCTCTTCATCTTGCCCCTCCAAGAACCTCCCAGACTTTCTTGGAGTTCGCATGACCAAGACTTTCTTTTTTTAAGCTTCTGAGGTCTAGACCATTTCTTTGATAGCCTCTTCATTGGCCCTTACCTTCTGGGCCTTAGAAGCATCAAAACATGCTTGCAACAATTTCAGAGGTGGTGGAGATAGGACTGACTAACCACTTGGGACAGCAGTTGTCCCGAACTTCCCAGGAGAAGGGTCACTCCCATCGGTCAACTTTTTCTTTTTCTGGGCCTCCTCAACTTTGCCTTTTTGTCCTTATCACCCTGGGTCCTTTCCTCCTCATTTCTCTCAGCATGCTCCTTGTTAAGGTGCTCCAGTTTACCCCTTGCATGCTTAACACAGAACAGAAGAAGGCTTCAACACCCTGGAGTTCATAGTGGAAGTGGCCTTCAAAATTGAGGCCATGTCTAGGGTGGGGTACTTCTTCTTCCCAAATCATCTACATGACAAAAATCAACAGTTAACGTATGCACAAATTAAGGCAACATGCTAACTCAAGAATTTTAATTTTTTAACCTTTGAGGCCATTAATCTAAATTCAATGGAGAACTTGTTTCTATCAATCAAACGGTTGAAGTGGCTGACCTCAGAGGACGTATAAATGTCATCAATAACATATCACTCTGCTTGGGACAGTTCAAAATAGGATCCTGAATCTGCAATAAGACAAGTGAAAAAATCAGAATGCTGACCTACTAAAAGATAAATGAGGCTAAAAATGAAGTACTCACAAGTTTCAAAGTACTGGGTCTGTACAGTGAAAGCTGGGACTTTGTCCCCTTTGACCATTTGCCATTTCCCATTTACCTAGAACCAGGACTCCTTCCATCCCTTGATGGATGTAGGTAGACCTACTACGAAGGAGAAATGAGCTTCCTAGGGTGACAAACAATACCAACCCTTGGACTCTCCCTGTCCCAGTACCCTAGGCTGAAAGAAGGTTTGGAAAATGTGGAAGGGCATGTCCTCACCCATGGAGGTTTCATTCCATAGGAAATATGCCTCCACCAGCTGTCTCCACCCATTAGGCAATAGTTGGGTAGGAGCCAACATGTAAGACCTCAGCACTGTCCTAAAAATGGGTACAGATGTAGATGCATACCTGCTTTAAATAGGTATTTACTAATAGCCACACATCCTGAACTCGGATAACAGGCTAGTTCATAGGCTTTAGGTATAAAAAGTTCTACAGAGTTAGGACCTATACTTATCCCTAATTTCAACCAACTTTTCAGAGGTCACCAAAAAGGTATCCTAGCTGTCCCCACCCGACCTCATAATCTATAGGAGCTTTACTTATAGCAAAATACTCATTTTCTGACCTCCCTAGGAGAATCTCCTAATCTAGCCACTGTAACCCTCCTATTGGTATCACTTGAACTAGACGCCATTGATGAACAAAAGACGAAAGATGAAGAAGAAAGAAAATAAGGAAGGATCCAAAGTTTGAGAAAATTACCTAAATTGAAAAAACTCTAATTAAGAGGCATCGTCGGAGGAGAAGGGAATGACCAGAAAGTATTGAGAATATCAGAAGGTATTCAAAGATTTTACCAAAAGTGGAAACTAACGTGTGAGAAGGATTTTACCTTTTATAGGGAAGAACGACGATGCTCAACCGTTGGATCAATGCTTGCTTCATCCGAACCGTCCATTTGTGATTGCACCTGAAGCATTGAATTCAAATAGTTTTCTTATTAACATCTCAAATTAATGCATTTTTTTGCACACGAACTTCGGCAAGTCAGCCTAGAAAAATGGTGGAATGATCATCATTTCACATTCAATTAAGTGACGGCTGGACGTGTATTGAAAGTTGTAATGATACAGTTCTCTTATCTTGGAAAGGTGCAAAAACATCAAATCATTGGCACATTTCTCAGCAGCGAACGTTATTGACAGACACGATGGAAGGTAGCCTCGACAACTTAGCACTTCAGTTCGTACAAAGTTCAGCTACAATAGGGAGAAACTTTGGAAGTTCAGCACCTTATCACTTCGGTTCAACGGATGTTCGATTCACTTCCTTGTTGCATATGTGAACCAATTTCAACATTTAACTCCAACTATGACATAAATATCTATACTTGGACATGGAGAATTGTTGTTACGCCCATACTAGCCAAGGCCCAATGGCCCAAAAGGTAAAGAAAGGACCCAAGCCCATTTGGCCGATGTACCATTGCCGAAGCCCAACATGCATCTGAGGCCCAACATTACCAAAGTACCTATTACTAAAGCACCTCAATGTCGAGGCTCAAGGAAAGGTGGAAGCAACTGAACAAATTGATAGATTTATAACGTTGAAGTATTACTTGTTCAAATCAAAGCTCTGAAGCCCACACCTCAAATCGAGGCTCAACAACGTAGAATTCAAGGTTCAACTATGATAAATGATGACCCACAATTGAAGATCTTAAAGTACCAAAGATCATCTTGGAATGATTGATTGGACAGTTACAATAAATGGAAAGGTTAGTCATGTCAACACAAGACATAGGTTGGTTGCTCTCTTGAGAAGCATTTAAGGCACCCCAAAGGTAAAACAGCCTGAAATGATGCCTACGAGATGATGTTTTAGTCAAGGAGATGAGGTCATGTATCCCCTATCCGACGGTCATTATTGTACATGTAATACTATAAATAAGCTCTCTTAGTATCATAGAAGGGGTTGGAGACAAAAAGAGAGATCAAAAAAATACAAATATA